AGCTTGGGCCACCGCCCCCCGGCAGAAGGAAGGATACATTTCCGAGGCGAGGGCTCTCTCCAGCCCTGGCTGCCGCTGAAGCCAGCGCAGCTTCCCCCTCCGGGCGGCCTTCCCGGCGGATTGCCGCCCCTCTCGCCGCCGCCCCGACTCCTACCCCAGCGCCATCCGCCTCGGTAGGGCCGGCCTCGGAAGCGGAATCGGTCCAGGGCGTTGTGACTGCGCTCCCAGAAGGAGAGCCGGGGACCAGTCTCCGAGTGCGGGCCCGACGGCATCCGCGGCGCGGGCAGAGGCGGCGGATGGGAGCGGAATGAGTCCTTGGGCCGGTAACCGCCGTGGCCGTGCAGGTGGCCCATCTCGGGCGGGGGCTGGTGCCGCGACCGCGGGAAGCGCCGAGAGGACGAGAGAGAGATGCCGCCGCGGAGGCCAGGAGGCGGCCTGCGCCTCGAGTAGGGCCTGTTGCCCACCAGGCCGCCGCCGGGCTCGGAGCCGCCGCCGCCGCACGGCCCGGAGCCGTTGTTGTCATCGTCACTGATCTCGCCGTCTTCCAGCTCTCCCTCTTCCTTAGGGGAAAGCCCGCTAGAATCCAGCGCTGCCTCCGCGGGCGCGGCCTCCGCGGCCGCCATGGAGTCCGAGCCAACGGTGAAGCGAAGCACAGCGAGAGCCGCGCGGCCGGTTTCGCTTCCTGCGCACGGCAGCTCCACGCCTCGCCCCCTCCCCAGCCGCCCACCCTGCGCAGCCCCGACCTGTGCGGACTTCTCGCGAGACCACGCCCTGTCCCCGCTGCCCCGTTACGCAACTACGAAAAGAACGCGAGGGCTGGAAACGACTCCCCAAGCGCGGGGCGCTCTGGGTAATGTAGTTCCCAGCTAGGGACGGGGCCGAGAGGGGCGGGGAAAACCTGTGACTCAGCCAATAGCAGGCCGGTGGGAGTGCAGGCGCCAATAGAAACTCGAACCGCCATGTCGGTGGAGGAGGCCGCCATCTTGTTGAGGGGAAGCGCGCTGCCTGGAAAAGGAGGGCGGTGGAGTAGTTGTGAGCGGCTGCGTGGCCCGTGTGGTGATTGCGTGTACGTTTCTGAATCTTGGAGAAGACTGACGCCTTTCAGCGTTTTTCTTTTCCTCAAGAGTGAATAGTGATTTTTTTTTTTCAGTTAATAATGTGCTATAAGTGCCATGAAAAATAAAATTATCAAATCTCCTTATTTTTTTTCTCTTTCTTTCTCTATGATACGACATGATGAATGGATGATACCTATGTGCTGCAAAGCCCAAAGCGATGTGCTCAAGGCCCTCTGAGCACCCATCCTCTTCTTTTGACCCGAGGGGACAAATGCATGACTATGAGCAGGTGCTCTTTCAGTGATGTGGCTTATTACAAATTCAGAGTAATGGAATCTGTATATCACGTCCTAAATCTCTCTAATGCCTCCCATCTGAAGCAGTGCTGGATCTATTAAAATAGTTTCAAAGAAGAATTATGAATTTTTTTTTTCTTTCTGGCAATCACCCGTCATAACTCAGTGATACGTGTTTCGTGTCGATTTTATTCAGGTGGATATAACCCCTAGAAATCATGCTTAATAGGCGAGTTTTAGATAACCTGTGCTCAACAGGTCTCTAAAAGACTGGTAGATGAGCACAAGACCTACTGAGAGCTTTCTGAAGCAGCTGCTGGAAGCCAAGCAGGGCTTATAAAACATTGTTAGCTTCATCTGTCTGTGCCTGATATCCCATCTGCTTCGGTTACAAATGTTTCAATATCACCACCTCTAGTGTTGCAAAGGGCAGAAATTTCCCTCCCAAGAACTGTTTGTTTATTTGGGCATCCCAGAGCTTTGCATGTATATGGTTTCCGTTTTCTTTGTATACAGACAACTAACTCTGTTTCTAAGAGTTTTCACACAGCAGTAGATACCAGTTACAGCATTTTGCAGAGGGAAAGGGAAGTGCTTACAAAACTGTAAGGAATTGGCAGAGAAGTAGGACCTCAATGGGAAGTTAACCCCATGTGGTGTTCCCACTCCATTCAATGCTGCTGTTTGTTTGCCCAGAACTCATCTAACAAGTGAGCTGAATTTATTCAGTGCCAGTATGTGATCTGCATTGTGAATTTCTACCTGAGGTATTTGACTATCTGAAAAAGGAGATTCCTGAAAATCTTCTAGTGTTTTTTAATGTCATTTGGTATTATATGATCACACTGTATTATGTAGTATGATATTTTATTTCAGTTACATGATACTGTAACTGGAGGATCCCTTTTCCTCCATTATAGGATTATCAGGCAAGCAATTTTATTTCTGAATTTCCAGGAAGAAGATGATTCTTCCACTGTATTCATCACTAGTAATAAACTGATTAATTGATAGTGTTCTCTACTATAAAAGGAATAAAATGGCATAAGGAAAAAGAATGTGTTGATCTGATATGTCTACATAACTACATATTTATACAAATGCACACAAACATTTGAAAACTGCCTTTCTAAAATAAAACATTAAGAATCTTTCCACATTCCATAGGTAATAGATGGAGAAATCCTGTGAGGTTTTATTACAGTTTGTAAATGTAAGATGAAACCCAAAATAAATAAATGTTCTCTTTGATGTATTTGACTTCATACACTCGAAGGATATCTATTATAGCTGCTGGAGCACCATTTTTGTTTTAAATACTGAATATATTTTCAATAAAGTCAAATGGAACAATTTAAAATATCAGAAAGCATACGTCTTAATATAGAACATGGAATTTGACTTTTCCTTTGTCATATCTCCTGCGTATTTTCTGCACCTTTAGACATGGGCAAAAAAGCATTGGGGAAATAGTATGTTTATGAAAACAAATTTCTAACATCTGTGTATACAAGCAGCTAAGGCTGATTGAATTAAAATATATCATCCAGATCTCTTCCCGAGACTCAGCTTGTATAGCTGGTAATAAGTTTTGTATTTAAACATAAGCAGCAAAGATCACATAAATAATAAATTAAATAGCTTTAATGCAGATAAGACTCATTTGCGTATTTTACAAACTTGAACAATGACTATTAGTGCAGCAATACTAATCCTACTACTGTTATTTCTAGTGAAGTTTTAAATATCCCCGACATAAAGCATTACCATATGATTGTTTTCTTGTGGTAGGTATCTCAAATTACCTGCCCAAAGCAAAATAAATAAATAAAAAAAATATTAGAATTAGTGATCTCCAGTGATGTTGTAGCTTCAAGTTAGATATGCCTCATTTCTGGTCCACAAAATGTTAAAAATACGTATTTTTCAAAGTTTCAGGTAAAAAAAAAAAAAAGGCAACATTTACCATATTAAATGAAATTCTTACAAGCAGAGTGGAATCTTGTCTTTTGGAAGCACAATCCGAGATTTAAGGATTGGGCAACATTTCCAAAAATAAAGGATGTTACATCTCTTCTAGTACCACAGTGCTAGTACAGCAGAGGAAGCAGAAGAGTAGTTTGCTTTTTGTCTTCCAAGCTGACCATTGCTTGAACACAGGCTGGACATGAATCTGCTTGTGCAAGATGGCATGTGACTTCCTCTTGTGTTGCTTGTTTTTGTAAGCTGTTTATCTCATGACTTTTCTTGCTTTTGTTCTTCCTATAAACCCTTCTCCCACTGGTGGTGGGGAGGTGAGTGAGCAGCTGTGTGGGGTACATAGCTGTTGGCCAGGGTCAGCCCATTGCAGCAGGACACATAACTATATGCAGATTATTCACATGTTACTAATAAGTGCATATTCATATTCAATTTCACATTGCTACGTAGTTGTGTTCCTAGCATACTTCTGTATTGTGTGTTTTCAGTTTGTTTATTTTTGCATAAAAATGAGATAATTTACAGAAGACTATAAAAGCTTTTTAAATCAGAGAGTAGACTATAATCTTTACCTGTTTTGCTGAGTTGATATTAAAAATGAATCAGCCACATGGGTACTCGCTTGGAGACAGGAAATCAATTTTGGGGGACTGTTAAATTATTCACTGCCTGGCAGTTGCTAATGAAGACTTCTTTAAAATGTGAAAATGTCAAGGTTGTCAGAAGAGGTAATTACAGTGTCTGGTGGAGGAGTTGCAAGTTCAGTCTTTCACTAAGCGTACACAAGATTTTTTTCTTTTGAGAGAGGCTTTATTATTAGGAATAGAGAATAGTTACTGTAGATAACTTTAAATGGAACACATGTACTCAAGTAGCAGTTAACTTCTTCCAGTGATATGTTTTAAAAAGAATTCCAATTGCCTCTAGAGAGCATAATGCCCATTCCTTTATCATGAGGTCAACAACTGAGGAACTCATTGGCATTTGAGACTCTAAATAAGCCTCTCTGAAAGGACTCAAAGAAATGAATGACATGCTGAGAAGCAAGCAGGTGAGAAACTGAACTGTAGAACTCATGCCATCTTTAAGGCAAAGACAACTTCAGTTGAGTTTGTATTGTACTTGAACTTATTATGTCTGAGTTAACACTGAAGACCTTAGTGAACGCGTAAAGAATTTTTTGCCCTGCACAGGGGTGAATAGCATTCCTTAATTCTTCAGATTATATGCATGTGTAATCATGGTTGATCTAAATACAGAGCTAGAGTATCCTGTAGTGTTTTTGTTCATTTGCCGTGTTAACATACACATGTATTTTTTTATTTTTAAGTATCTTGGAGTTGGATTCCTCTTCAGATAAAGAATTAAGAGAAATGTTATTTATGGCACATGGATGCTACAGTCAATGTCATATTAGCTCTAGATGACATATCTTATGTCTGTGGTCTTTTTTTTTGAATGCTTCCAAAATATTTCAAGGAGATAATCTGCAACTAACCATGCAAATCAGCATGTTTTTAAATAACAAAATCAAGTGTAGCTTTTCTATCAACTGTGAATACTGCCATGGACTGCATGCAAAATTTTGGATCAAGAAAGAAGTGAAAAAACTAAACCGCACACAAAGTCTCATACAAGACTTTTCTTTTTATGAGGCAGGCAAGACTGTGCTGCAACATTTTCATTATATAAATATCCAGTATCTTTGTTAAAAGCACAATGGAAATAGTGAGAAGCAATACACTGAGGTGTTCTGCATTTTTTATCAGTTCCTAGCATTTCTCAATATGAACATTTTTAAAGTCGTATTTCCTACAGCATATGTTCAGAGCAAAGGATGACAAAACTGGTCTCAGACACAAATCATAAGTTAGCTGTTACAACGGTAACAGGAGCTTAATCTATAAGTTTTTTACTTGGATGGAGGGAATGGTGAGTTATAAGACATCCGTTTGTTTGTACTGGTCATGGCAACGGAGTGGATAAGTAGCTCTTCCTTCTGACTGGGAAAGAAAGTTTTCTTCTTTACTTGCCCTTCAGAACTGTATTTCTGGGTGACTGAGAATGCATATCTTTAACTTGGGAATAAAGGACTTGCCTTTTCACTTTATATAACTTCCATATATTATATAAGTAGTAATTTTCAAGTGCAAAAACTGCAGAATGTATCACCCCACTTTTCCTGTATTATAACAAGATGCTTTTCAACTAAGTCACTCTATCCCTGGTGTCACAGAATAAACACGGCCTATTTTGCAGATTTAGGTCAGGCAGAAGTGGGTTATTTCTACAGCTATGGGAGGCAGCACAGAGTGACAGAGGTTCAGTTCTCTATCAGTACAAACTTAAAAGTATAAACATTTACAGCAGATATAATCAGCTTTGTAAAGGGACTGATATGGCAGAGTGGCATCTGTGCAGGAGGAGACTTTGTCACAGCAGCTGTGCCATTGTGTTCCTCATGATTCGGAGGAGTCTGCAGCCCTGTGGTCTCAACATATCCCTGTTCATCTTGCTTGTCCTGTGACACTGCTGTGCCCTTGTCAAACTTTTAGGTGCAGGGAGCCTGCTGCCACCTTTCCCTCTTTGAGATTTTATTCTTTTACTATTCTGAGAGACTTTTAGCGTCCTACAGACAAGACACAGGTATCATGGCTCTTCTAATGAAGACTATGCTGTCTAACTGTCTGTCCTTGCCTGTAGAATTAGGTGTCCAGCAGCATCAACTTTTGGATTTCACCTCTCTTTCCACCTCTGTTTACTACATGAATCCCATTTGCAAGGCTGGGATTAGTATGGTTACAGCAATAACTCTACATTTATTAATACTGCAAATACAGTACAACCAACAATGATAATAAGAATAAAATACTGTACTTTTTTTTTTTTTAACCTAGAAACCCTAACTTTTTAAATGTTTACAGAGCAGTTCCACAACCTCCAATTATTGGATTTCTCTGCTTTGGCTGCTTCTTTTTTAGTGTGTATGCTCAAATCCTAGGTGGTTTCAAAATTGCCTGGCATATAGGTAAAACAGTGCATGTTTCACCCAATGAGCCAGCATAATGCCAAGTTTTAGCCTGTTTTGACCACACAGTATCAGACATTTCATTCCTTATGTGGTAAAAAGGATCCACAGTGTAATTGACAATTTGCTTTAAATAATAGCTGGTAAATTAATATTCTTTTAATGGTTTTTGCCACCTCATGCATGGGAAGCATCACAGCCCAACAATTTTCATGTTCTGAGATAGCTCACATTTTCTGATAATATTCAGAAGGAAGAGAAAAAAATGTTGAATAGCTGAGGTTATTATATAACATGATCCAAATGAGTCTTGTCAGAGCCATGGGTATGCAAATATACCTTGAATAGCATAGGCTTTTAAGGGAGTAGGTATATAAGATGAGTTGAAATCAGTTCAATAAGTGGTCAAATAATATTGTTCTAAAAATTCACAGTTTGGGTATGATTACCATGCCCCATATTGTATGTTGCATTTGCTTTCAAGTAGCAGCTGTTCTGAGGAGCATGCAGTCCCAGGTGGAGGGCAGAGTTGGATCTTCACGCTTACATGTATTGGATTGACTTGGATCAGTTCCGCTTACTGTCATCAGATAATCTTGGACAAGCAATTGCTGCCCTGTGGGGATTGCAAACTGATCTTTTATATATTATAACAAATTACATGCTATAGGACACATGGTGACAACTTCATTAGAGTGATGAGGAACACTGAAACACACCCAACATTTTGCAACATCTACGTCATTCTTCTAATTATAAGCCAACTCAAGGGTATCTTTATAGTTCACACGGTGATGCAGTGACTTTCAACTTTCAGAGGACAGTGTCTCTGGGTTCCTTTCTGTTGATTTTCAGTTGTCTGTGTGTCACCTCAGTGTAGACTCAAGTTTGGGCTCACAAGAGTGACACAGTTCACAGCCAGGTTCTAGAAGGGCTTCTTTTACTGTCAAGATCACAAACAATTCATTAGAACTTTCTAATAATTCATCATAACATCATCAATCATCTGTTGCTTGGGTAGATGCAGTGGCTTAGGTGCCTTGACACCATGGTAGAGATCTGGCCATTTAGGGACAGCTACTTCACAAATTTGGGGCAGTTTATTTAAATCAAAACTCTTCCTTTCAACAGCTCCTGAATGTAATTGCTGTTAGATTTCTGAGGCTTAACAGACCACCTGAACAGTGTGCTTATGAACTGAGTCCCTCAGTCACTGTGTAGTGTGAAGGATCAATGAATCAAAGAATCAAACCAATAGTTCCTTGGTGACAGTAGCAGTATCTGCGTGTCTGCATTGACTCTACATGGCCTCTACCCATCAGAAGAACGTGTTTATGATTACAAGACTGTATCTGTACTTACAGCACTTGGTTATCTCTATAAAATCCACTTAGAAATTCACAAAGGGATGTGCATTGTTTTGGGTGTGCAGCAACTTTGGTTTGGACTGTTTGAAAACCACCTTTCTGTACTGCTGCATGAGCCACCACCTGGGTCACACCAGCAAGAGAGGAGAAGGGAACGTCAGGTGCAATACAGCCACTGCCCTGAGACTGACACAAGGAACTGAGGTGTGACTGGTATCTCTGCCCAAGCCAGCCATCATTTTCATCTTCTGGGTCCAGTTCCTGTAAAATAAGGCAGTTTTGAAAGAAAAGCAGATGGAGATGAGGCCTCTCACCCACAAAAAGGATTATGACTGCATTATGTAGTGAAACATCTCTGAGAACATAGATTCATACAGTGGCTTAAGCTGGAAGGAACCTTAAAGATCACCCAGTTCCAAACCCCCACCATGAGTAAAGTTGCCACTCAGCAGATGAGGCTGTCCAGAGCCCCATCCAACCTGATCTCACACATCTCCAGGGATGTGGCATCCATAGCTTCTCTGGGCAACCTGTGCCAGTGCCTCACCACACCCTGAGTGAAGAATCTCCTCCTGACATCTAACCTACATCTCCCTCTTTCAGTTTAAAGCCAGCAGCCTCACCCCCTCCCCCCTTGTCAGACCACATAAAAAGTCAGTCCCTCTCCTTCAAGTATTGCAAGGCTGCAATGAAGTCTTCCCAGAGCCTTCTCTTCTGCAAGCTAAACAAGCCCTAGTATCTTGTTCTGGCACAGTACAACATTCATGTGCATCTCCATTGCAGGAGGCACATCACAGTGCTGTGGGGTTAAGGGTAGAACAGCAAATGAGAAATGCTGGCTGAAAACTGGAGTAATATTTGTTCTCACGTAATCATAATCTGTAAATATGCTGGGTTTTCCATTTTAAAAGGAAGGATTTGACAAGGTGAGAAATAGCAAGAATTAAGAGATAATGAAGGATCAGAATATCTGGGTGGGTTTTTTTCCCCAATAATAATAATAATAATAATAATAATAATAATAATAATAATAATAATAATAATAAAAAGCAGCAGCATCTGTTTTATTTGTTGTTGTTGTTTTGGTTTGTTTGTTTGTTTTTTCTTTAAATGTCTTTTCCTAACAGCTGAAAAATGCATCCCATTAGACCTGGTCCACCAGCCTGCCTGAATACTTACACTCAGTAATTCATACTATTAAACATATCAACATTTATACTATTAAACACATTAAAGATGCCAAATTTGCAAAAATAAATTAGTTACAAAAGTTATAATACAAAATAGATTATGTATTATGTTTTTCAGTCTGTAGCTGTAAAAAGTGTTGGGATTGCATTTCTGACATGACCCTTAGTGCCAGGACAATGTTTTCAGCTTTACTTACAGCACTTCACTGTTATTCTTCAGCTTATTCTGAATGATGAAAATGCCAGAAAATGAAAGAATTTCGAATGCTTTGTCTAGCTCTCAACACCTGTTGTTTGTGCTGTCTCCAGGAAAGCTCAGGAACCTTCACTTGGCAGAATGCATCTTTAAAACTGCAAGAAAACACAAGACAGGGGCGATCTTCACAAAGGCTTAAAATAAAGGCTAATATTTGACTTTGTATTGCTAAACAGGGGGGTGTGGGTCCAGACCCTGGCCTCAAGGGGTGACCCTTGTGCTTAGGACTAACCCAGTCTCTGGGGGATCTCCTAGAAACAGCTGTTTGGAGCAGTCCAAATGCAGCTGGAGAACAAACCTGCAATTAAATAACGTGTGGATTATGGAGAGGTCAAGTGCCTGAGCTGCTTCAAGGCCCTGTTTATTTATTTAGCAGTATAAAATTGTCACCAAGGGTCTTCTCTCATAGTTAATGGGCAAAGAAAAATGTCTTTACCAGTTGTTTCAGTTCAGTGTTAGCTGACTGCAGAGGGAGTGCACAAAAAAGAAATCTTTTTGCTTTAATTAAGGAAGAGAGTGGCTTCTATAGGCTGAACTTTAATTTTGTACATCATAAGTGTCTAAGATACTAACCATCGACCATCATAACCAGTGGCTTTTAGTTGTATAGAAAACTTTTCGTTACTAGTTGCACTCAGGATCTCGGATGCAAGCACTTATTTAAAAGTTCATCTGTGTGATACTACTGACTCTGTAATGCAAATTCTTAAACCACAAGAAATCTAAAGCCTTTGACAAACATCTTTTGTGTTTGAATTTTTAGGGAAAAAAAAAAAAGTGATTTATTTTTTAACACAAGTACTTTGTTCACAAAGACTGGGTCAGTTCCGGCTTAAAACTAAATCAGTAGCTGACATAAGAGAAATTCAATATATCAATAAATCAAATTCCAGATAGGTTAATGGACTCACAAGTGGGGAGCTCAAGAAAGTAACATTAAAGCAGGCTGACTGAAATCTCAAGACAGAAGAATGCAAAATATATGTAAAGAAAACATGATCTACTAAAATAACCAAGGATGTTAACTATATTCACTTTTTATTGACTTTAGATTTATTCTGATAAGGTCTTGTTTGAATTCAATTCATTTTCCTTCTGGCATACATATTATCCAGTGCCTATGTCATTAAAAAAAAAAATGACAAGTGGGGAAAAACTTGGAAGCCATGAGCTAATCACTTGTTATGGTAATGTCCCAAACTTCCAAAAACTGAAGTATCTCAGATCCACATGGAAAAGCGTGGAAATTGTTACGACAATGCTAGAGAGTATATGCAAACTCCTTTCACAAACTAACAATGTACTTATTGTGGGCAGTTAGTGCAGCAAGTCATAACCACAACCTTTTCTGAGATAAAAACAATGGCACCTTAAGTGTTTGGCACAGTGACAGGGCACTGCAACTTCAATACCAATTTATAACACTGGGTGGATCTCTGAATTCAGAAGAACAAGAAAAGAAACCATTTACTTGACACTGTCTTGGTGGGAGAGCTGTGAGTTGGGCTCCACCTCATCAGTTAGCCACTTGATTTCTCCACTTCTTACCTGCTTCGTGGCAAGGTGTGTTGCTGTGGCATCGCTGCTGTTTGTGGCTGAAAGAATGTGGCTAAATTATCATAGCAAAGAAGAATACACAGTTGAACATACCTTCTGATAAGACTTCAGTTGTAGAAAGTGTTGGGAATCTGCAATTCTTTCTCATAGAAACTTCAGTTCTTGCTTTTTCAACACTTGTTCTACAGCAGTTCTATTGAATCTGGACTGAGCAGAAGTCTTGAAAGGTAAGGGATGTTTCTGCTTAACTTTTGAGTGCACATCGTTACAGCCACATCTCTTATGTAAAACTTCTGTTCTTTACTCTGTACTCTTTTTTTTTTATTTTTTTTTTACAGAAAATCACAACTTCCCTTAAATAATTATCCAATTTCTGTAGTGAAAATGTTTTCAGATCTAGGATTGTTTTAAGTTAGTTATCCAGGTATTTGTCCTGAGTAGACTAAAATTCTGCACTGACAAAATTGAAACTACTGTATTCTCGTATGTAAAATATTTCCTGTTCATTATTAAAATGTAGATTATATTTCTTGCAATCCAGCCTGTTGCCTCAGGGAACTTATGACTTCATCTATCTGCAAAATAGAGCTAAATCTGTGCGGCACATAATGTTCATCTGGTTTAACAGAAAACTCTGAACAACTGTCCAGGTATAATGCAACATATAATTATTCAGATGTATGTTAGACGTACATAACTTACAAGCTACTGTAAATCTAAGAAATAGTTTTGAATTTCTATTCTAATCTTTCTCATAGCATCATATCCTTATATATCCTTATAGCAGTGCTGCACTGTAGGGAAGAGAAGTAGTCCACCTTAAAAACATATTGAACACCGCTGTTGTACGTAGTACTTTTAATAGGCTACTACTAACATGTAGGCTTTCCTGTGACTTGAGACTAATTTAACAAAGTGTTTCAACAATATCTGAAGTGTGTGGAAGTCTTCACAGTGCTGTGCATTTGAATCTAGGTGCACTACTCAGGTGGATAATCCTTGAGAATTTTCCTGGCAGTTTCTTTGCTAGTTATGGAGGTTAAGTATTGAAGCACAATCACAGATTTTACTGAAGAATCCAGACACTCTGATTAGGGTGCATAGCATTTTTTCACAAATGCTAATAGAATATTTAATATAACATTTCATTATGTATGAAAAAAACTAGTGGATATCTGGTTTTATGTGGTTCTTGATTGACTTTGTCACATGGCCTGGATGAACACACCAGTGTTATTCCCTTCCCTTTAACTTTGCTGAAACATAATGTTAGTGAAGCTCTTTTAACCTCTTATGATTTAACTACTACAGAAATGCAAAATATGTAATTCAAAGAGAGGGAACTCAGTACTTACTCTGTATCTTCATAACTGATGCTCCTGCTTCTCAGATGCAGTACAACATTCATAATGTTATATCAGTATTATCTTCACATCATAAATCATTCAGCTTAAAATTCAGATTGCTTGTGATACTAGATTTTCTGCTAATCCACGCTTTAATAACCTGAAACAGTGAAATAAAGCTGCTTTGAAGTTGATTTATGAGACATTTTGCATGCTTCACTAGGTTTTTTGTAATGGATTATACATTTAACAGAAGAATATTTAACTGCAGAAAAGAGTTTAGAAAGCTATTTTTCTGTATTTCCCTAGTCAGAACTGAATTTTGTACATAAACAGTAACATCTGTTGGGTTAATCAACTGAAAGAAATATAAATGGGACTACATTCAATTATGTTTGAAGTGATCACTACCTTTTTCTTTTTCAGTCAGAACTACCAGTAACACATAAGTATTCATCACGTAGTTCAACCGAAACGAACTTACTCATCACTGAAAACATGAACTGTACCACTTTCATCCATGCATCTAAAATCAGTCCAAATTGCAATGGCTTAGGCAGATGAAGCAAATTAGCAGGGACAGCACCTTAGTCATCTGTGCTTCTCTGCTGTGTGTACATCAGCCCAGTAAAAGCTGGATTTTGGCCAATTGCTGGTCTGTCTAGTGAATATCTCAGAATAATTCATCCTCTCGTTTGAAGGAGATATGTAAACAAAGGAAGGGTAACCCAAAACCCAGGGCTTTTCTGGTTTATCACTCTGGAAGATAGTTGGCACTAATAAGAAATACCCACTTTCTGTATTAATTTCTTAGGAGCAATTAAAAAAAAAAAGGAAATTTAATAACGAACATGAAGCAAAAAAGTACAGAGAAAAAATCATTTAATCAGGGTTTGAGAGCCAATCTCTTCTTTAATCAAACAGCAATTTTCACTGCTTGCTTTTAAAACAGTGGTTAGTAAGAAAATATATCAGCCTGAAGGTGTTAACAGCATCTGCCTTGAGATTTTGGGTCAGATCTGGACGTTGTGTAACACGTCTTCACTGCCTTAAACAGCATTGAAGCCACAAATGGTTCATCCTAGAGTTTATGTAATTTCTCTGGTTTGTTACAAAAGCATCCTGATATCTTTTGCATAGAAAAGGCAGAATCACTTGTTTGCAGCAACTGAAATAATGTTGGAGAAGAGGAGCAGAAGATATGAAGTTGTTCCCTGACTGGAAAACTGGCAATTGAAGCATTATCACCTATTGACTTTGCTGGCAGTTACCCCTACTAAAGCTCGTGGTGCAGTTGAGTGCAGTTTTATCTCAGAAGAAAGAACCAGCATGATAAGCAACTGCTTGAAATATCTTAGTCACACAGGTGCTGTGTTTTGGTATTAGCCTCCAGTATGAAACATACATAAGTCCACCAAACAGTTGGACTTGACAGCCTGTTGGTGTGGTTTCTTTATCTGGAAGAAGTGTTTAGGAATTTTACCATTTTCTTTTTTTTTTTTTTTTTCATTTGGGGAAGTGCTGTTGTACTAAAATGAAAACATTCTGTTCAGCTAATTTTCTGTTGGTTCTTTACTCAGAACAGAATGTAGAAGAAAACTCATATAATACAGATGTCCCTTAGAAGATAAAGCAGTCTGGTGGTTCAAGTAGTCAATTAAATACAATAAACCCAGTTTCAATTATTTTATGGTCAGATTAGCATTTTCTACTAAATTTATATCCCTAAGAAAAAAAGAATAACTTGACAAAAACAGAGCCCTCACAGACAGGAACAATGTTTAAGCAAAGAAGAGAAATGGAGAGTACCACCACAAAGAGAGAAAAAAGAGGCAGAAAAGCAAAGAGCAGAACAGTTATTTCATGAAACTTTGGAAACATTATGCTGTAATACACCAAATCTACTGAATTTTAATACATTCATAAAAATGAATGCAAAAGAGTTAATTTTAATTAACATGCTATATACAGTAACATGCTATTAACTTCCCTTTAACATGTTGCCTTAGCTCATCTCACAATCCTGTCTCCTGTTAAATCACCATGATTACTTTTAATTCTAGATTCTGTGCTGGTTGTATTTTGCATCCTATAGCTCTCTGTACAAATACCCAGGCTACTTATAATGACACTATACTGTTTTTAGATTTAAATTTCTCAGATTTTTCTTATTTCAGGTATGTATTTGTATATGAAAGTGTAGGAGGAAATTTCAAGCAGTAGTTACTTGCCATTTTTAAATTAACAAGCTTTTTAGCTACAAAAGCCAGAAGTGTATATTTAAATATAAGGAAAAAATATATATGAAATGTACGTATTGCATATAACACTGTTGTTATTGATTCAAGATGGCATTTTAAGTATGTAAATTCTAAACTCACAATACTGTCAATAACTAGATGAACATTAAATTAAAAAAAAAAAAAACAACCTTAGAAGTGTGATGATTTTTTTTTAAATTTCAAGACCTAGAAAAAACAAAGGGCAACATTTAGAAAGCAGGAGTTTAAATACAGTATTTGGACAAAGAGTTGTAGATTCATTACTTTCCAAAACGTGCCTGCTTCCTCCAGTTTCCAAATACAGAATTTCAAGTTTCTTTCTTTTTCACTTTCTAATCTGTCTTTAAAATTTAATGTTTATTAAGCAAGTGCAGGAAAATATGTTGGTTTCAAATAGCACACAAAGTCACATGTAACAGAAGTGAGCTGGAGTAGGAGTCAAAGTCAACATTATTCTTGTTATGGTTGCTACAGAATTCATAATTGGAGGCACTTTGTTCATTCCAGGCATTTAGAGCTGTTTTGCTTTTCTTCCTCTTGTAAATTCCAACAGCAGCAGCATCTGTGGCTTTAAGCCAAGATGCGAGGTTTGTGGCTAAGCCAGAACAGCATTCTGGCATGTCTCTCCAAACTGGCTCCAGTGCTTCTTAGCTCAGGTATGGGAGCAATGCAGGAAGCTGAAGGATCTTCCGCAAATATGCCTCCTCTTTGCATTAGTGTGTGGGTTGTGATTCATCATGGTCACATGGTTGTACAAGCTCGCCAGTATAAGCCTGGGCTGTATGATTCCTGTAAGAGCCTCTGTCCCTCCACCAGAAATTCCAGTATCCAGTCTCTGTTACAAGCTGGAAAACAAAAGATCAATATTGCAGCTAAGGGCTATTTGAATAAACACATTCAAAAAACATATTGGAGTTGACTACCGCTACACAGGCAGCTGCTTGTTCAGCCCCCAGACTAAGTAGAGTTGGTAAAAAAAATCAGTTATGTGGGTTATGGCAGGAGAATCTAACCAGTGTATCAGTTATCCTTCAAAAGGCGTGCTGTTCTCATATAGCATCTCACAACTACTCAGCCCAGGATTTCAGATACATTTCTCAAATGGAGGTTAAAAGACAATTTTGGAGATAAGAATCATAGAATGGCTTAGGTTGGAAGGGACATTAAAGATCATTCAGTTGCAACTCTGTGCCGTGGGCAGGGCTGGCACCCAACAGATCAGGCTGCACAGGGTCCCATCCAACTTGGCCTTGAATGCCTCCAAGGATTGAACATCCACAGCTTCCCTGGGCAAACTCTTCCCATCATTACTCATTTTGAGTAATCATTACTCTTTTGAGTAAAGAATTTATTCCTAACATCCAACCTATATCTCCCCTCTTTTAATTTAAAGCCATTCCCCCTTGTCCTATCACTATCAGATCATGTCAGTCCCCCTCCCACTTAAAAGCTCCCTTCAAGTACTGGATGATGAAGGACCAAATACACCAGTTAGTTCTGCTACATTAGTGTTAACATTTTCAGAACCTCTAGCTCAGAGAAAATGTGTATGTTCCTAGTTCTTACTGCCAATAAATGCAGCAGAGAACAAGGTAAAATCTAAGGCATCCAAGGCACCTGGTCCAGGTTTTTGGCTCTTGCTGACTAGAAACAAAACACTGTCAACACCCAAGCGTTTAAAAGTCTCTAGAATTGACCTACTATCTTCAGCTAAAGCCAACCATCTGTAGGCCGAGTATGGTCACTAGTTTAGACAACATCTGCAGAAGCCCTGACTAATAACTGATTATTTCATCTGTAACAACACATAAATATGTCTAAGCTTCTGTTGCAAAAAGACTCCATAAGCTGTGTGCTCATCCTGTTAGAAACTCACAGCAGGAGCTGAATAAAAAGCAACAACACACACCTTGAGATAAATCAGGTGCCGATGAGCCAGAAATACTCTTAAATCTAGTAGGGAAATCATCAGTTCTTATCTGAAGATTAATCATTAGAATTTTCAACGCTAAAAACATCTGTTCTACCAATGCCTGTAACTTATCATGCTGCCTATTCTTTGTAAAAGATCCTTTAATTTACTTTTTCCTATTACTCAGCTCCTCACTGAACAATTACATATTCTATCATGCTGGTGTTTCAGTTCCATGAAAACAAGGGCCTGAGATTCCTTTACTGAGGTTGATACAATGGCCCATCTGTAACACTGTAAAATTTAGGGTTGTTGGTTTTTTTTTTTTTTCCATTTACTTTCAACACCTTTCTACTTACAGAACAAATGCTGAATATGTTACCTCAAAAATCTCTTCTGAAATGCTTTAAATTTTATTTACTTCAAATAAATCTTATCTTTTACTTGCCACACAGCAAAGGGGCTGGGGGAGGGCTGTTGCTAAGTGGTGGATCTTCCCATCTTTCTGTGGCACGTTGACCAAGCTTTGGTATGCAAGAGGGAGATGCAGAGTTTTCTAATAACTCGTGTTGGCTTTATTTATGGCCACATGTTTTGCATGTAATTCTGGCATCCCATCAGAAAAGCCACCAGGCAGGTTTAGCTTGTTTTCATCCCAAGCTGGCGTTAGGAAACACTTCAAGTCTTTACATTAATGAACTCTGCAATGTTCCAACAAGTTTCAAACCTCATAAAAAAAGCCCTCATCCCTGTCGTTATCAACCTGTCTTATTTCTCAGTGGATTTTCACGTAACAAGCATTGCTTCGACAGGCATATAACTGCTGTATGCGGGCACAGAGCAGGGCCCACAGGCACGGGGCAAGCACCAAACAGCCACACAGCACGGCTCGTGCCCTTACGAAACAGCGGGAAAGCATACGGGAAACTCTCCATGCACAGAGCCATTGGAACAGCCAACAACCAGCGACCAGCGAACAACAGCCCGGGCAGGGCCGGGCAGGGTAGGGCCGCGGAGCGACGCCTCGCCCTCCATCTCCACACGCGGAGGCGGGGATGGGCGGCGCATGCGCAGTGCGGCGCTGGCGGCGGGGCGGGATGGTGGCGCCGCTGGCGGGCCCGAGCCGCAGGTCGGTGGCGGAGCCGGGCGGCGGGGGGGAGGCGGGGCCGGACGCTTCCCGACGCCTTTCTCCTGCCTTCTGTCATCGCTGCCGTCGCTTCCGTCCCCGAGCTGACGCGGTTCGGGGCCGTTTCGGCGCTGGCAGCGCGCGGGGTAGCGGGTGGGGGGCGGTCGCGGGCAACTCGCCGGGAGCCCCCCGCGGAGCCCCCCGAGATGTCCGTAGGTGTCGGGAGAGCGGCACAGCGGGTGGGCAGAGCAGGGCAGCAGGGCAGCAGGGCTGGCCGCGGTACTGACGTGCCCTGTGCCTTGTGCCTCCCCTTAGGCGGCCGCCCTCTGGCTCCCCATGACAAGCAGCCAGGAGGATTTCTTCAGGGACTACCTCAAGATGTTGGCGAACATCGTCATCCTGAGCCTGCTCATCTCGGTCTCTCTGGCGTTCTGGATCGTGTCCATGACTGCGAGCACATACTACGGTGAGTGCAAAGGCCGCGGCCAGTCGGCTGGGCCCGTGGCCAGCCGCCCCGCCTTTCCCCCCCAGGGATGGGGTCTGGGTGTGGATGAGGCATCTGTAGGGCTTTCCCAGCCCCGAGTAGAGAGCTGGGAGCCCGAGGCCCAGAGAGAACTGTGCTGTCCTGTAGTGAGGGTAAGGATGACGGGTAGCGAGGGGCGCTCCGGCCTGCAAAAGTTTTGGAAATGCTCTTGGAGGCTTTGAATGGGGCATGTGGGGAAGTGTGCTGGGGGGAGAGGTGGGAATTGGTGCTGCAGTAGAGGGATGGGCGCGGGGAGTTGCTGAGGTGAGTAAGTAAGGTCAGCTCTGTTCTGTTCATGTAACCCAGGTGAGCTGTGGGTTGTGTGTGGTTGCAGGGACACAAGTGCTCTCTGTGGGCTGTCACTTTTGTTAAGACTTTTTTTAACTGCAAAATACAGATGCAGCAGTGCTGCCTGCAGCATCTGTTCAAACCTTGAAGAGTTGAACAGCTTTCCTGGGCAGGTGAACAGCTGTCTCTAATACATCAGCTGCTTTGCCGCAGGAGGAGCTCCGGTGTCACTGCAGTGCCACTCGGTGTGTAGGGATTTGTAGGAGCACGTCCAGGTGCCTGTTGTTACCTTGGATTCAAAGGAGATAAAATATCTCACTAGTATATGCACACTCTTGTAGTGGCTATTTAATGTCTCTGCTCAGTGCTTTCCAGTGCTTCAGTTTTCAGAATGGCAGTGCTCTCAGATATACAGTGTGATTTTTGGGTGGTTCTTTGTGGAGCTAGCATTGGATCCTTACTGCTCCGTTCTGTCTCAGAATGTTCCATGATTCTAACTGAACAGAATAAAGGAGCACTTGCGGTTCCATACAGGATTCTCTTATCAGGGTGACATGAAATCAGGTGTCACATGACTGCAGGTTGTGTCTACAGCTCAGCATGGAGTGTGTCAGGGAGAGTCAGGTGGGGTTAGGGAAAGGCTCAGTGCCAGAATGTGGCATGGAACGGGTTGTCCAGGGCAGTGGACATGCCCCTGAGATATTGGAGCTTAAGTAGTATTGGCCCTCAGAAGTTGGGTTTTGGTTTGGATGGTTCTGTGTAGAGCCAGGAGATGGACTCTGTGATCCCTGTGGGTCCCATACAACTTGGAATGTTCTGTGGCACCTCCACACCTTGTGGGGAGAGATAATTGACACAAAGCAGGTGTACAGAAACAGGCTTGACAAACAGGTTTGGTTAATTATTTTAGAACTAGCACAGTTGGTGTCTTAGTTTCAGCTGGGATGTGATTGTTTTTTTCAGAGTATCTGGTATGATGTTACGTTTTGGTTCTAGGAGAAAAACTGTTTATAATACACCTATGCATAAGGTTGCCACTAAGTAGTGATGTACAGAGCCAAGGCCCAAGATGCTGTGAGGGAGCAGAATTAGGACAGCTAATTTAAACTGGCTAAAGAGATATTCCATAGCATGTTATCAAGCAGAAGTTTTGAAGTGGTGGGAATTCATCTTCCACTGCACAGAGGGCTGGCAGGGCATCTGTCAGTGGTTAGTGAACAATTGCTTGTACAACACTTGTTTATTTTTTTATACACACATGTAGTCATAAATGTTATTTTCTTCCTTTCCTCTGTCCTAGTTTTATCTCAACCCACAAGTTCTACTTTTTTTTTTCCCCTGATTCTCTCCTCCATTCCCCTGGGAAGGAGAGGGGTGAGCAGATAGCTATGGTTTTTAGCCAACTGCTAGATTAAGCCACAACAGTCAAATTTAAGCAAACTCATAACAGTGTCATTTTTGCACGTCTGTTCAATAGGTATAGCTCTCTCAGCTTTTCCACTAATTAAGTTATTCCTGCTCTTGCTATGTAACAGGAAGGTGTGGGGTGGAGAACTGTGATGTCACATGAATCAGGGGCTGGTGGAAGTCAGGAAACTGGAGACAAATCCTCCTTTTTGCAGAGGATTATGGAACAGGACCATGGGACATCTGTTTTCCATTTGACCGAAACCATGGAAAGACCAAGATGTGAAGGGCAATGAAGCATACAGTAGGAGTGGACTTAATCAAATAGGAAAGAGAATTGTGATGTGGTGCTTTTCTTTGAGTTTTTGACCCAGCAGTTGACCCAGGGCTCACCTCCACACCATGTGGGGCATTGAGCTTTTTCAGTGCATGAAAAAGAGGTTGTTTTATCATGAAAACCCTTGTGCTGCATGGACAAGTGTTTCACTGGAGATGTGTTTGCCCTGCTTTCCTCTGAGGAGCCTGAATAGCTGCAGAGCTGTTGGTACCGCTGACGCAAGCACTCATGTAACAAACCATTGTGTTCAGCTTTCCACTGTGGCAAGCAGCTGTGCCTGTGTGAAATTTCTATTCCATTAGCTAGGTCGCATGTAACGCTAGATTTGTGATGTCATATATTTGTATAGCAGATGTAATATATAGTTTCTCACATTTTGGTGTTGTTTTAGATCAAAAGCCATGTTAATGATTAGCTTTACTGTTTTTTAATGGGCTTTTTTTAAACAAAACTCATGAAATCTTGCAGAGATGATCAGTTTAAGATATATTGTTGAGAGCCTTACATGAAGTTTAAAAGGAATCAGAGATATGATGTTCTAGACAGCAGTTGCACCACTTTTACCTGGTAGAATTTCTTGTCATGTTTTCTGGAAGTAACATTCTTTCAGAGGAAGTTCAGGATATAGTCAGTAGCTTTCTTGTCTCTGGGTGCAAAGATAAAAGACTTCTTAACAGTCTTAGCAACCATTTCTTCCTATACTTTCAAATTTTTATATTCTAAAATGTGTACTTGAAATGTCTTTTGCAGTGAAATGTATATCTTATAATTAAAAATGAGGTGATTCAATATGTATGTACATATATTAACTGCTGCTAAGGCAGTAGATACATTGAGTCAGTTCCATGATTAAAACAACCCTCTAACTGGACAGTAAAAACTCCTTTTTAACTTGTTAATAGCTTTTATTTTAGTGAGTGTTCTGGAATTTGAGAAGGAAACAGATATGTTTAAGATGCTGAAGATAAATCATCTACGTAGAAGATAAGCTGCTATGGACACCGGTACTTTATGGCACGGTGTGCAATATGGTGGCTCAGTGGGATATTGTTTTTCAGTTCTACAGAGAAATTCACATTGTAATGAAAGACTCTTTGGGGGGATGAGGAGGAAGAACTTTTGTCAATATCCATTACAAGACATGAAACTGTTGGATACGGCTTGTTTTCCAGCAAGTATCTGCAGGGCTATGGACAAATGTGTACAGTCAGTTTTTATACTGCTGCCAGGTTGGGAAGAGGCTGCGTGTGTGTGCATGGGCAGTAAAGAGGGACTCCTCAAAGTGAAGAATTCCATATCACCTGTGGTTCTCAGCTGAGCCAAGTTTTCTGTAGATCAGGGGAACAGAGACAGAACTGGGAGAACTGAACTAGGTAACTTTAAACTTGCTCAAGGATAAACATTTAAAGGGAAACAAGATTAACACCAGACTTAAATCTTCTGGCTACCTTTTCTTAAATACAAATCTATAATATCTTTCATAAAAATGGTGGTTTAATAGAGGAGCCCAAGGCTTGCTGAAATAAGCTTAATTTTTGGTTTCTTTACAGTTTTAGGTGTTCCTAGTTTACTTTGAAAGTTCCTACGACTGTTAGCCTTTTGGTTTATATAGTCAAAAGAACACCTATTGTGTTATAATGGATAATGAATGTTTTTGCAGATGCTGAGGGATATAAATTCTCCCTGTTGAGGAGGTAGACAGCTGTGGTGGAGTGAAGAACCCAACAGCAGCCTGAAGATGGTTAAAGAAGAACAGATAGCATTGGAAGCAATGAAACATATATTTGTATTTTACACCATAGCAGTCTGTAATTGATGTACTGCATGACTGAAGAGGTCAGTTGCCTGGTTCAGTACAAGCAGCTGATGCAGGAGAGGGGAACTGCATTGTGCAGGTTACCTAATATATCCTCATCTGTTTGTTGTTTTGTTGTTTTTATTTTGAAATGAAACACATTGTTTAAAAAAAAAAGATGATTTGCTAGCAAAAAAGAAAAATCTCACTATTATAACTGTAAGTTCACGGTGTGTCACCAGTGTAAGAACTGCTTATACTTGCGTTCATCCCATCTCACAGTGTCTGTAGCAGAACAAAAAAGAATGAGTATGAGCAGCATAGGTAATAGCATCCATTTAGGAAGACTTATCAGGTAAAGATATTTCATCATAGAAATGGGACATCTATGTAGGTCATGAATGGCAAGAGAAATGTGAATAGGAAATCACAGAATCACAGAATCTTTTCACGTTCATTAGGTCAAAAACTACAGCAGGTGTCCAATGAAACTTGAGGCAGCAGTATCTGTGTAGTTGGGCTACACAACAACTGGCTTAAAAATGGAATTGAGCAAATATGATGGGGAATGATTTTAGAAATTATAACATAAAGTTCCAATAAAAGGGGAATATGAATCTATATACCTTTCTTACACTCTTCTGTTGAGCACATGCAGCTGGCTGCTGCCAGGTGGGGTTCTGAGTCAGGCAGATGCTTGGCTTGGTGCAGTGTGCTGGTTTATATATTCTGAACCTTGATCAAAAAGCACCGTCATTGTCATGAACAATTCAGGTTTATTCAAGTTCTGAGCAAATCAGTCATCACAGGATCTGTGAGAGAAACTCTTGCTCTGATTTGTTTTCTTAAAGTTGCTTTGCATTCTTTGCACATGAAAGGAATGGTAAGGCTTTATTAACTGTGATTTTACTTTGTGTTTTATTCATATTTGAAACTGAATTCTACGTACCTTACTGTGGGTGTGTGCTTTGTCTAAAATCTGAACATGTCTGTTTTATTCAATTAGGTTTCAGTTGTTCTTAACATTTTGCATATTAATGTTGGGGGTTTATAAATTCTTTTTTTAGAAAGAGAAATCTCATTGTGTTTATTTCTAACAAATTTGCCATTTCTTGATCATGAATTTCAGTTACTTTTATGTATTTTTTTCTTAATAATAATAAAAAAAAGTAATAATTGCAGGCATTTTGATCTTCCATTCATAAAAATACTTGGTTTTGAGTGGTAAGGAAGTTTAATCTCTGTTAAGGTCAGACTTTAAATATATTCTTGGAGAGAAATATTTGTCAGATACCAAGGCTGTAAAAAACTTACAAGGATGATATGTAACCATTTTGTTTTATTCACCAGGTAATATCCGACCAATTTCTCCGTGGCGCTGGCTTTTTTCAGTCACAGTTCCAGTAGTGATTGTTACACAAGGTTTTAAGAAGAGGAGTCTTGATCACAGTGGTGCATTGGCAGGTACATTTCTTCTGAGGTTATTAAGCTAAACACTCAATAAACTGAATTAAGGTCCTTTTCATACTATGTAATGTTCTTTTTAAAGCCATTCTACCTGGTTCAGTATCGATGCAAGTATGCATACCTTGAATTCATACTGATTTTTATAATGCTTCAATCAAGTTAACTTTTGCAGCTGTTTGCAGTTCATGCCATTAATGTTGTTAGATTTACATAATTCACAAAATTGTTTTGAACTCAAGTACAATTTGCAGTTAAATCTGCATGGTCTCATTTGTTTCACATGTCTAGAGATAAAGAAGTTGAAGAGGCAGGGATAATGAAAGTGCCAGCAACCCACCTGTCTGGTAGGAAACCAGTGAAGATAACATGGTTTTCCTTTCTCTAATATCATAATTTTTGCCTCCCACAAATAAGAAGAAAATTAAGTCTATTATTCACTTTAAGCCAATGACTGTTTCAACAATGTTTTTCTTGGCCATAAGGAAAGAAAGCTCTTGGTGTTCATTGAAATCTGATGTTAAGACCTCTGGTTGAGGTGGCTGACCCTTCCTTGTCATGTGGCATTGTCTGAGCTGATGGTCAGTGGAAAGAAACAACCTACAATCTATTCCTCCTATGCCATCCATCTGCAAATACTGTTCTGTTTGTGAGTTCAGGGGGAGGATTTTCTTGGTTTAAAATTATGACTTCTTCCAATTGTGAAGAGCTGTGGGCACTGAGAAGTAGATCTCCTCTGTAGAGGAGGAGGTAGAAAAAAAAAAAAAAGCACACATCCAGCAGCTCAAATACTAAAGAAAATAATGGAAAGAAAAAGATCAAACAATTCAGAAACAAAAGAAAATGAATGGCAGGAGTGGCCTTGTGTGGGGAGGGGGTTTGATCCTTAAACTGAAGATACATTTCCAGATAGAGAAGCTATACACTTTTCATATGAAGAGTCAAATTCTTTAGGCGGGTAACCTTTATCTTTTCTTTATTGCTCCATCTTCTGCACTACTTTACTGATTTCTGGCGGGAGAAGATCATATGCTCTAGCAGTAGCAATAAAATCAACAATTTTAGTAGTTAAATTTACAAGAAAATAGTAAGGGTAACTGATGTTGTTCAGTCAAGATGTCTCTAGAGTTTGCATTACAGATGTTAGATGCTTCATTAACTTTCTTATTGCATGTTTATCTTAGGTTTATCATGATGTTCATTTATCATGAAGATTGTATTCAAGAGTATAAAAGTACTTAATTGCTTTGCAGTTAAGTTGTTACGTGAAGGAATTTTACATACTTTTTTTTCTTTATAGGATTGGTGGTTGGATTTATCCTTACAGTTGCAAATTATAGTTTCTTCACTTCTTTGCTTGTATTTTTTGTTACTTCTTCAAAACTTACTAAATGGAAAAAAGATATAAAGAAACGTATAGATTCAGAATACAAAGAAGGTAAGCCCTAACACTTAGATATTTTCAGATCCCTTGTGAAGAGTAAATACTGTGTACCCTTTCTTTCAAAGTATCAGATGTGATATAACACCCAGAATAGGGAACACTTGTCATTCCCATCTCCTTATCCCCGTGAATGCAAGCAATTTACTTTTAGAAAATGTGCATTTTTTAAATTTAATTTTGCATGTGTGCACTTTGCTTTTGTCTCCAGCTGCTGTATGTCAAGGTGTTTTATCTGAAAATACTAAAATTTCATTCTGTCACTTTAGGTGGGCAGAGGAATTGGTTGCAGGTATTCTGCAATGGCGGTATTCCTACTGAGCTGGCTATCTTGTATATGATAGAAAGTGGACCTGGTGAAATTCCAATAGACTTTTCAAAGTATTACACTGCATCGTGGATGTGCTTATCCCTTTTGGGAGCTTTGGCGTGCTCTGCTGGCGATACGTGGGCATCAGAGATTGGTAGTGTTATGAGTAAAAGCAAGCCAAGGTTGATAACGACCTGGAAGCAAGTTCCAGTAGGTGAGATATTGTCTGTTCTATGTTTTCGTATCTTATGTTTTGTTTTGAATTATGCACCCAACATGAAAAGTTCCAAAAGAGCCTCAAAAAAAGCCCAAACGTTGGGAACAGATTTGAAAATGCTAGGGGGAATGTGTTCTCTGAAATGTAATTTACTCAGTTGTTTTTCTGCTTTATACCAACTGTGAGATGCATCGAAACAGAATCTGGTGAGCCAGCATCATTCATAGAGATTGCTGTCACTTCTTGACTCAGGTACTTGAGTCTTAGAAGTGTTTATACAGACAATAACACAAAGACTATCAATTATTAACTGTGTTTTTCAGTCATTAAAATTTTAATCAATAGAAGAAATATTTTCATTACAGATGGTGTGGAAAGCTCACCTCTTAATCAAATTGTTCATTTCCTTTAATGTTTTACAAAGACTGTGCAAAGTGAGCCTTCTGTCTGTGAAACCATTTTTACACAGTGGATGACATTGCTGCCTTAAATCACTGTTTCTTGAGTCTTGCAGGCATGCTGATACGTGTTTTAAGCATTGTATGGGCATTTTTTTACTCATTGTAAGTGTTCTTCAGATTTTATTTCTTTTCAGGAGGCTATCAAATGTCTTTTCTATGGGTTTTGCTCTTTTAAACATACTGGTGAAATACTTCTTCATGCACTTTTGAAAGAGGCGTTGTTTTAATAGCCTGTAGAACTCAAGCTCTATATTCTTTGAGCAATTCTTTTTTCCTCCAGTTTTACAGCAGTCAAATACCAGGTTGTATTGAGCAGTTTACTATCTGGTTTTGCTTCATTTATTGCTAGGAAATATTTGTAGATAACAAGCCGTAGAGACGGGGAAAGTAATGTTAATACACCAGTATATACACCAGTTAAGCATCTGAGCAGCTTCATGACAATTATAAATAAAAGCTGTGATGGCAAAGTCTTTTTGATAGATATGACTGTAGGCATAGTAAATTTAAGTCTATAAGAAAAAAAAAAAAAGAATTGTAAATCAGGTTGACTTTTCTTTGATTTAGGTACTAATGGAGGAGTTACACTGGTGGGCCTGCTCTCAAGTTTTCTTGGTGGCATGGCAGTAGGTATAGCCTACTACATAACACAGCTCGTTTTCGTGAGTGATCTGGATGTGTCGGCTCCACAGTGGCCAATTATTGTGTTTGGAGCAGCAGCTGGCTTACTGGGATCAATTCTTGATTCATATTTGGGTGCTACAATGCAGTACAGCGGTAAGAATTGTCTTTTTTTTTTTTCTTTTCCTGTTATGACCTAAAGATGGACTTAAATGGACTTGATATCAGGAAGAGCTGAGATGTACAGAGATATACAGAGTACACATCACAAAGAACAAAGAGTCAGAGCAATGGGCATGATAATGACAACAAGAGCTATGGCAGTTGGTCCTCACTTGTGTACTTCATCCTCTTCCTTTTGCACATTTTGGTTTGTTTGTCTCACATTATTGTCTTGGTGACTGAAAGAGACCAGAGATTTCCAACACACTTCCTTGGCAAAAATAATTTCTTCCTCCTTTTTTTTTTTGTATCTAATCATGGTAACCTTTTAGAAGAGAAAACATCACCTTAATTTTGTCCATTCACTCCAACTAATTGGGAACTGCAGAATCCCCATTTCTTACTCTAGTGACCTAGTGATAGTGCCAGCTTTGAGTACTAAAAAGGAAGAGCTCTGAGAAGATGTGCCCCTTATTTTAGATTCTTTTTTTTGACTGTCTAGTAGGGTACTATTTCCTGGAAGTTAAGTGTTTCATGAGCTAGCCGTGTTTTTATTTAAAACAAACAAATTGGTATCCATTGAAGAAGGTTGTCAGCTGGTTGATCCTAAATAATTCTACTATTTAGTTACTCACTGCTCCTTAGGGTCATTGTGAATGAACAATACAGGCAACCTTCAGACTAAGCCTTGTACTTAAAATCCATATCTGATGCTCTTCTGTCCAGAAGCTGATTTACAGAAAGAATTTTAGTTTTCTGATTTGATTGTCAGTACACTTGTTAGAAGTCACAGTTTGAATTTGCAGATGAACTGCATGAGAGATAAAAGCCCGTTGAAGCTACTGTCACAGCGAGCACTGCACTCTTGTTGATGCTGTGGATTTGGCTTTCCAGCAGTTTGTGTGCTCTATTCTTTGTAGATCCAGGGAAGTCCAAACCAAGGTGGAGTGTTTAACCATGTGAGGAATTCTTACATATAATGCTTCATTATAAAAGATGAAGCACTGAAGCACACGGGCCATGTTTCATTCTTCTAGTGAGGCAGATGGATTAAGATAATGTGGTAAACTTAGCTAATGCATGTCTGCATTTGTCATTTGTTTCTTACTCACTTTAGGTATTTTTACATGCTCAGCAACTTCTTTAGTGAGCTACAGAAGGGACAGTGTGCAAGTTCCACAGATTCATTTCCAAATTTATAAGCACTTCTGGCCTGTGTTTAGTATGTATACATGTGAATGCTATACATGCATGAATGGTATACATGCTGTGACATAGATGAGTAAGTGCTGCTCATGGTGTGCACACTATTGGGTTACATCTCCCTCTTTGCTTAACCTGCTTTTCCAAACTGTGTTCCCTGTGTTCTCATGAGAAGTGCTCCAATCTCTCTTCAGCATCTTGAAAAAATGAATACGGCAATCATAACTGCTGTGGTACTGTGGGTTTTTTTGGAAAGCATGATGCCAGTGCCACCTATACCCTCTCTTGAGGTTTTACCTACAGGTAGTTTGGGTTTATATAATAGTCTGTTTTGAAAAAGTCATCCTTTCCTACTGCACACATCAAGACTTTCCTTAACAGCTTTGCAGAATTGCATCCAGATTTTCCTGTATCTCCTAACTGAGATCATACCAATTATGTAAATAACCAAACTACAAAAAAAGACTTGCTGAATGAACATTTTTATGCTTTGAATCTACAATCTACAATGTATGTGCATCTGTGGTATATGTTTATTAAAGACCATTTTTTTTTCTGTCAAGGAAGCTTGAGACATTCTAAAACATAGCAAGTGTTGCCAAGTTGGTTTATGGGATGTGCATATGAGGAGGGATGTGGTTTGTGTTTTCTGTTTGATTGTGTTGTTGTTACAATTTGTCTGAGGTGCTGAAAATGTTTCAGTGAAGTAGGAGTTCCAAATGATGTTTCTGTATTGTGGGCATTAACAGATACTCCAACATACAGAGAAAAATAATTTTAGTTCAGAATGTGCTCATGTGTTTTGGAGCGTTCGTTCGTGTCAGCCTTAGGTCTGTATGTATGCACACACCTGATCAATACTGCACTGACCTGTGAGTGGCCATTAAAATCCAGCATGCTAGAATGCTAGACTTTTACCAGTGTATAAAATTGGACAAAGCATTGGATAATGGAATGTGCAGAGTGACAGAAAATGAGACACAGTGCTAGAACACTGTGGCACAGCAGGAAATTACTTAAGTTATAAGGATTAAATGTATGGTGGTATAAAACTAAATAGAAATGTTAAATTCAGGCTCTATCCAGAGCTTGTTTTCTGTCAGCTCAGTTAAGTGTTACTTCCATAGTTTTCTGTAAAAAACAAATAAATCTTTCTAAAAGTCAGTTGTTTCTGTTCTGTGCAGAACAGCATCCTTTGCCTTCGTGGCTCTCCCAATAGCTTCTTCCTCTTCTGGTTTAAGCTCATGTTTCCTACCTTTGTTTGTCACATAGCTACAAAAAGAGGTAAGTAGACTCGGTAGAAGCATAGCTGCTCAAAACTTTGAACTTAAAGTATTGCATTTAGGTTCCATTCTTTGAATCTACCAGATGTAGTTAACCATAATTTTGGTTAGTGTTTTACTGTCTTTTCTTACAAAGTCAGACACTGTAATGGTAAAGGGAATGTAGAAAATTGCATACACTTGGTTACTGTTTCTTCTCATCTGCTTTGCCTTTTTAAAATGAAGTCTTTATCTCTTCCCAGGTTTTGACAAGAATATCAGCATGGTTGTCAGCTACCAAACAAGAGACTGCCAGCACATATCTGGAAAACCTATATTAGACAACAATGCAGTAAATCTTTTTTCCTCTCTACTCGTTGCTCTGGTTTTTCCAGCTGTGGCATTGTGTTTCTGGCCAAGACGTTGAAATGGCTTAAGGCTTTTGGCATGTAATCAGTTTTGTTCAGTCTTTCTTAAAGTGCTCTTTGAGCACTCTTAAAGAAAGGGATCTGAACATTTGAGAGAGCCAATGGATTTCCATCTCAACTTATGTAAGCTTCGTATGGCAGCAGTCATCTATCAGGACAAGAAGTTTTGTTAATTTTGCTGTTGCTCTTCTTTGAGTGGGTGCAGATCATTGCCAAGTGAGGTAAAGCACTTTGTCCTCCTGAAACCTAAGGATTGGCTTCAGTGGTCTCAAAGGAGGAGCAAGAGGCTGGAAATGGAAATGTGATCTACGTCTACCAGGGCGTTGGAGCACTGAAGCTATTGTCCAAGCCAGGCCCAAATCCTCTGCAACTTTGTGTGGGCAGCAATAATGCAGGTAGAAAGGATGAATTCTGGTTTAGTATTCCCTATAATCTGGAGTATGTAAAGTTGTATGGAAATGTTTTGGGGAGGAAAAAAAAAAAAGGTAAGCCTTGTTGCCTATTCTATATCCTGATAAAACTTTCTCTTCCCTGAAAATGCAATTGTTAAAAATAATATCATTATGTGACATTTGGAGCAAAAGACTATGGTTAGAATTAAAAAAAAAAAAAAAGGTGTTTGCAGTAAGAATAATAAATTTGCCCATGTTTATTTGAAATTGTTATTTCCTAACTAATTAAATATATGAAGATTATTATCACAATTGTAATGCAATAGTTATTAAATTATCTGGAATTATCTGGAATTCACATTCATTGTTTTATAAATATACAGATTGTCTCTGTAAGCACAGGATTGCTATTTAGAGTTCTGAGCAAACTGTGTTCTTTGGTTCCTGCAGAGCAGTGTAAGTTTTTCTTACTTCTGTTTGAGGTGGCTATTCACAGATGAGAGTCTCAACCAAAGAAGGTACAGAGGTTATCCTCAAAGTGAGTAGAGAAAGTTTCATTGACAAATCATTTCGAAGAGTTTTAGTGCTTTGTCTGCTATGTCTGCTGGTTCCACCTCTCATCGTTAATTATAGAAGATGTGGAAGTTACTGAGCCAGCATAGGTTGTATTTAAACTTCATGCATACCTTCATAGTAACTGGAGATGTTCAGAAGGTAGAGCCCTTTCTGTTAACTTGAAAGCTTCTTATTTTTGTCGTTAGAGGTAGGTGAAGATTTGTATTAAATAGCTGATTTTTAGTTTATCTTTTCTTTTACAAATGTTGTGTGTGTCTCCTGTCCAAATTCATTTGGATGGTACTCTGTCACTTTTTCTGAGAAAGTTCAAAGATTTTAATACTTCCACATTGGATTTATTGATTTGAAATTTACTCTACAAGTCTGGAATTCAGCACTGGAACTGGTGAACTGTATTATCCAGCTTTTTGAAGGTATAAAAGCTTTCTGAAAAGAACAAGTTGTGTGGTTGCTGTATGTCAGCCTTTCTGCAGAAAAGCACACAATCATGAAAGGAATGTATGCAGTTGATCTGTAGCAAGGTATACATGAGTTGTTTCTGTTTGTTTGTTTTTTTTTTTTTAGTGGATTTATGCTGCTTCTACATAAAGACTGTGTTAGTCAGCTTTTAGGATTTTATTAATACTTCTGTAATGTTTAGAATTAAGAAATGCACATTTTTGTAAAGTAATTTTTCTTTCAATTGAATGCCTTATTTTTTTAATATTATTTCAGTTCCTGAAATAAAGTCTGCTTTCAAATACTGAGGTAGACTTAGCCTGCTTTTCACTGCTGTTCAATACTAGTCTCATTTTAAAAATAGCATGTCACAGTGAGAAGACATCTGTAGTTTTAAGTCCAGTATGAAATGCTTTGATCTGTTATCACACTGAATTAGTGTGATCCCATCAGAGTCCTGCAGGAAGGACTTTCAAAGGCCACTGTTTGGAATTTTACCTTTGTCTTATCTTCATGATGGTGACACTGAGTTGTTTATGAAATTCCCACTCCTAAATCTTCAATATTTAAAAAGATCAGAGTGCTCTTGAACTCCAAAAAAGACAGTGTTAATTCTAGGTATGCTGTATCAACTGAGGTGCAGCTTATGCTAATTCTTTTTAATAGAAGGTACAGGGAGGAAGAAAAAGTGTGTGGCTGTACCTGTGAGCAGCCTGTTAACTGGCGTGTCACTAAGAGCCATTACTGAGATGAGAAAGGAGCAGACAGGGATGTGCTGCCTTTCCACGTGATACTTTGGGAAATAGAAACTGTAGAAGTAAAAGGGAAAATGAGGAGAGAAGCTACATTGAAAACAGAGAAATCAAAAACACCTGAATATGTTTTGCTTCAGAACTTTTGGTACCTTTGCTGTGTGAGATAACTCTGTCACTAAATTTTATTGAAGTGACAGAGATTTTCCACAGCACCAAGAGGATGCATTGAATTTTTATTTTTTTTTAGTTGAGAAGTTTTGATTGTGAAACATTGTTCCTCATTTTGGGCTTGTTTTCAAATGTGTTACAAGTTCAAGTAAAAGTATGAGAATGGCATAATTTATTTTTAATAAATAACATATTGCAATCACTCTGTGTATGAGAAGTCTTTAGCCAGGTCTTGCTTAGGCTTGGTGTCCTGATCTTGAGTGTTGAAGGGTATTGGTTTCAGAGTATTCAGAATTACTCTGTATTGCTCTTAGATTGTCTTGGGTCTGTCCATGTTGCTGTTGACTGGTCTGTAATCAGCTGTAAAGCACAGTTTGCTGGGACAATGAAATAAAGTGGTATAAAAAGTGAAGGGGATATATCACCTCTCTTGAGATTTAAAGATCAGCTAACATTCAGATAACTCACTTTTTTGACAACAAGGGGCTGAAAAATCTTGAAAGACTGTTGACATTTTACAGACGTTGGTTTGTGGATTGGATAAATGCAGCAATAGATTGATATTCACATTTAAATCTGTTAGGATTTCATTTTTCACATTTGTAAGTGGGATGTGTTTTCCTGTGTTTTCCCCCAGTCCCTTCTCTGATTTTGATTATCCAGATCCTGAAATTGCACTAGATGGTTACTTTTTTCAAGCAGGAGTTATTTTCAGGAAGTTGGAGTGTTGACTTAGAGCTTTGTAGACATATTGCACTCTGCTTCTGGCAGTTCATCCAGTGCTGCCAGGTGTTTGTTGCTTCACACCACGACCAACCTGAGTGTCTACATCTTCCAACGTTACTGCAACTGGGTAATCTCTTTCAATTTAAATACTTGCTTTGTTTAGGGGAGATGTGGGATGGAGGGTCTGTGGAGCTCTCAGAATTAAGGGCCTGCGTGTGGATAAGAGCAGGGATGTGAATTCACTCAGACTGTGTGGAGCACTACAGCACACTCAAGTCTGGAGCTGCCAGTAAATATTGCAAGTCCCAAATGAAGATGAAATCTGGAAATGTAGAAACAAAACTGTCAGGCAAATGATGCCTTGTACTTAGATCCTCTGCTCTATCAAACTCTGAGCCAGAATGAAACAAATTCCAACAGGACAGAATTTTTTCAGTAACATTTCTTTGGCTTCCATCCCCAAGGAGGCAGCTGATCAATATGAATATCTTGCTACTTGGTGAAGAACTAAATGACAGATTTCTTTGATGTACCGTAAGAGCAGTAAATGTGGTCCTCAGCTTTCCTCTGTGTGCAGGTTCTGACCCAGAAACATCCTGTGTGACTGACTGGTAGTGTGGTAAACATTATAACTTGAGGAATATCATTAGAATGAATCTACATTCCTTCAGTAGACCATCTAGAGGGTTGTTAGCTTTATACTGCTTTGGGTATTGTTGCCCTAGAGTGGGGGTATGTGTTGGTTCCTGACAGAATGGCTGTAGAAGAAATACTGTGTGTAGCCGAAACATGGAAGAACCAGCTTGACCTGTATTGAGGGCAGGGGTTTCATAAAGTGGATCACCACCAGCCTGGAAACAGCTGCTTTTCCTGGGAGACAACTTGGTTGGACTTAGTGCTTCACAGACAGCTCTGTAACTTATTTGCCCCTATTTTCCCTTTTTTTTTTTTTTTTTTTTTTTGTGTGTGTGTGTGTGGCAAGCAAGAATAAGGCAGAACTGAACTTCTCTATGTGATCACCTTCAGAATTGAATTTGGAGGTTCAAAACCATACAGCAAATCTATACAGCAGTATGAATGTACTCTGCCTTTAGAGAGAATGCCAGTAGAGAGCAAGAGAGTAAAAATTCAAGTTTTTTTGTGCTTGTTGGTTATTATCCTCTCGTAGCTCAATAACTGCTTCTATCAAGGCTTTCCAACTGCAGTCCTAGCTGCAAATCTATGAAAGTAGAAGGACCTCATTAAAAACTTCTGTCAGCATGAGGGAGTAACATGCATGGATGTCACGCAAAAATGAAGGCCTCTGCAGGCACTTCTTGTTACAGAGGTGAGCTCTGCAGCGTAACCTTGTGCTGTGAACTGGAGAATGTTATTCTTAATGATCTCTTTCACTTAATCCAGTTATAGGCTTTATACAAGCCTTTGGGTTTCCAATGTGTTTATCTGGGTAAATACACTAATTAACTTCAACCCCCACAACCTAACACAGCTGTGTATTTATAAAAGCGTTATAGTTCCCATGTAACAGCTGATGAACTCCTGCTACAATGATTGCTGAAAAGTTCATTCCAGTACTTGGAAAGCAGTGACTCTGGCTTCCTGGTTTCCACGTGAGCACTGTTCATGAGCCTGAGACTTCATTATTCCATTTGTTGATATCCTAAGTCCTGGAATCACTGATGAAAGCTGCAGCAATCCAGTGCTTATCCTAAAGCAGTAGTCATTTCAGCCTGCTGTTGGCTGTCTTTAGCAGCCAAACACCTCCAGTTATGCTACTCCCAGTACAAAAAATATATGCATGATCTTTTTGTATCACGTCTCCTCCCAGTGTGTTTTAAAATGGAGAAGTGAAAACAGGTAATCCATAGTGCACTGGGATAAGAAGCATGGGTGTAATTCGCTATTAGAATTCTAGAAGTCGTTTGGATGGTGCTCTAAGAAAAAGAGAATGGAGTGTCAGCATGGAGCATTCACAGTGTCCACAGCTCTAAGCTAAGTTAGCTATGCCGGGAAGAAAAAAAAAAAACAAACTAAAAATGCCTAATCCATTATCACCAGACAAAGTGAAAGCATATTTTAATGTGGGTAAACTTCACAGTTTAAACTGACACTGGCTTGTCTATAGATTTGTGAGTAATATACCTCAAAGATTCAGTTTGGTTTCATTTGGAGCAGATTGATGTTACTCCATTTGGTTCAGAACTAACCTGAAGTAAGAATGTAACATAAACTTGGAACTTAGATGCCTTTCCTTTTTCTTGTGATGAATCTCTTACTATGTGTTTTGATTCTTTTCCACAACAAAGAACTGCTGGTCATCTTCACATATTGCTCTGTGTGAGGAGATGTCTTTGTTCTTCAGATGTGACAAAGTCAGGAGAAGAGAGCAAAGATAAACCCACATTAGTTTTTGAAAATGCAGGCTGACTTTCTTTGCCCAGTTCTTTCTCGCAAATGTTGTTGCATTAGACTGCAAGCTCCATCTTGATTACAATGAGCTCCAGTTCATTGACTGCACCCTTTGATCATCCCTAGGCAGAATGCTCTTGTGCCTGCAGCTCTAAGTGCAATCTCAGGAGCTCAGACATGTACAGCACTTGACTTGGCTGAGCCTGCAATAGCATTTTTAGAAAGAGAATGTGAATACCATGAGGCACCCATTGGTGTTGATATTCAGCATCTAACAATGAAGAGTGAAGGTGTTGACTGTCATTTATACATAACATAGCAGTAAAATCCTACCAGATTCAATAGGCACATACAGGACTGCTTTTTGACACCTCTAATTTTCAAAACCTAAAATTGATGAGAGCAGTTCTGACAGCAGCCATTTGCTGAAGCTGAAATCCTACTGCTTTAAGAGTTCTGTTCTAATTTGTTTATAGGAAGGATTATGTATATATAATATACATGTAATATACAATAATATAATGTTTATAGGAAGGATAATGTGCACTGTAGGTGCACATTTTTCTTCACACCATCACTAGGATAGCATTTTGTTTAAAGGTTACTCCTATTTTTGACTGAGAAGGAAACACTGGAACGGTATGCTAAAAAGTGTCTTCTAGAGATTAAATGGGTTTGGTTGTTGAAAGTTACTATTAAATCTGTGGTATTTAAATTCACTTCAAAGATGGCTCTACGCACCAGCAGTTCTTCATTATTTAAGCAAGAAGCAGTGAGAAAGATGACTGGTGGCAATAAACACGTATCAGCCTATGGCCACGTCTTCATGGAATGCACCAGTCCCAAAACAACACCTGCGTGCATGTTTTGGGGCTGCTATCACCAGTTTTTTGCACTGTAACAATTAAAGTATTTTTTAAACTGTTAGATGTCTGCAACACAAGAAACATTTCCTATTTATTTTTTGCTATTATCTGAAGAATTTGGTTTCCTTTGTTCCTGTCTCCTTTATCTCATTTTCTGTTTTCAGCTTTAGCTCCTCTTGCAGTCTGCAGCTGTTCTTCAATCCTCATGAATGTGGCTTAGAGGAACAACAGAACAGTGATTCTCTTCATAGCAGGAGATGCTGAGTTGGTGTTTGCACTTCTGTGCATGGCATAGGATTGTTCTGTTTTGAACCATTATTTTTTCCTTGGTAGTGCAAATAGCTGTATAAAAACACAGCCTGATGTCCTCTGGGGTTTATGATG